GTTCCTTTGTGCCCCAGATGGCCTGGGTTCCATTTCCACCTGGGACATCACTTCTCCTCCGTGGGCCTCAGTTTCATTGGCTGCAAAATGAAGGGTGGGACTGGTTGGCCTTGAAGGCCATCTCACTTCTCATCTCCCATGCCCTCTCCCCCATGTCCACTCTTCCTCTTCATGTCTGGCCTCGTCCCTGAATCCAAACTGCACGCTCTGCCCCTGCAGAAGAGACCCAGTTTGATTCTGCGGATCAGCCTGCCTCCAAAAGACCGAGAGCCCCGCACTCCACCGCCCTTGGATGAGCTACCAAAGGTTTCCCCTTCCGGGGAGCGTCCTGGCCCTCCTGGCCTGCCCAGCTCGTGAGTAGAGGGAGAGGGAACATGGAAGTGCGTTGCGGATTGTATTATTGTGCGCCCACTTTTACTGGATGATGCGGGAGGGAAGAAGAAAAGGTGGGTGAGAAGAAGAGTAAGAAACTGGGAGGAGAAAGTCATCCCATACTAACAGGAAGGAGAGGGCTCTCCCAGCTTTGCTGTTTTCTGTTTGGGACGCTTTAGACAAGGGGCTTTGTCTCTCAGAGCCTCCGTTTTCCTATGGAGATAGTGAGGGAAGGTGGGGGGATAACCCACGCCTGTAGCATTAACAAGAGGACTAAGAAGGGCCGCCACACAGTGACCCTCCTTGAACAAACAGAGGCTGTTATCCACATTAAACATACTGGTGGGTGGAAAAGTCTGCCAATTAGCGCTCCAGGGTAGTGAGGGCCACTGCAGCCCAGAGAAGAGTCCAGAGGGAGTCAGGGGAAAAAAGATTTCTATAGGTGAGCCAATCTGGCAATTCTTGCCCCATGGTGGTGGGTATATGTCTGCCAGAGAGTTGAATCCCCTGGCCTCTCCTTTCCTTCTTTCTAGATCCTCAGCTCTGAGCCTGCAGCCCCAGGAGACCTGCAACCGTCTTCTACTGCTGTCACAGGTCCTGGGAAAGGAGTGGGGTGGGCCAAGCTAGGATCACCTGGGGTGCATCTCCTTCCTGGGACCAGGGATGTGGGGAGCACTTGGGAACTGGGAGCTAAAGGGGCATTTGGAATGTGGGATGCCATAGAGGTCCCCAGGCCCTTCTCTCACACCCAGTTTTTTTGTAGGCCCTGGAAGTCTCTGAGCGGTCCTTGATGTGTGAACCCTCAGAGTGGCAGCGGAAGCTGGAGGCAGCAGAGGCGCTGCTAGCTCTGGGACGCTCTTCCGGTGGCCTGTGCGGCTCTGATGTCCTGATTTAGCCATGTGGCACACCAGGTACCCTGCTCCTTGAAAGGAGGACCCTGGGTGGGGATTGTTGGAAATGGTTGAGGAGAAACACTACCGCGAGCTGTGATTTACTATGAGATCTGCGTCCATAGATTAAAACCTCTAGGGTCCAAGCACCCAAGCTTCTCAGTCTGGTTCCTGACATGGCCCTTGAAGGTCGCTCAGTGAATCTTTCCTGCAATAAGCTTTGTGCTCAACAACAAAAAAGTGCGATGCCCTAATGTTAAGAAACAAAGACAGTCTCTGAGAAACTCTCCCAGAGTTGCAGGGACTTGCCCTAGGACTTGAAGCATATCCAGGTAGAAGAGCCAGGCCCCTTGACTCTCAGACCAGGCCTCTGTTCCCAGATGCCCGAAGTCTGCGGAGGTCGGGGAAGGTCATTCAGGGACGCTGAGGAGGATCTAGTGAGGAAGGAGCTCTGGAACCTACTTCAGGGAACCTCCAGCCTAGATGGGGAGCCTGGATGCGTTCACAAGCTATATTTGGCCCTTAACTCTCAGCAATGAGCTCTGAGAAGGACTGGAGAGGAGGAATAAACACCTACAGAGACCTAGAGGCAAGGCCAGGCATTCTTAGACCAAAATGGTGGATGGAGTCAGGTGTGTGAGCGAGCAAACAACCCCGGAAGACCTGCTAGGAGAGACGGACGTGAGGCTGGAGAAGTCTGGCATGCCAAGCTTAGGAGTCTAGACAAGCAACTCTGGGTAATGGGGAGTCACAGAATGTTTCTGAACTAAGGAGGATCATATTCAGAGACCCTGGGTTTGACAAAGAGAAAAACGTGGTGATGTCTTTGATGGAGCCGAGAATGGAGATAGGGTGAGAAATATGTCTGTGGGATAATCCAGACAATAGTGAGAAGGCCCAGATTGGGTAGGACAATAAGCAGGGGAGAGCCTGAAGGGCAAGTGGATGTGACTTGGCCCTGACCCATTTCCTCCTGTCTGTAGAGCCTGCTGCAGAGGAAGGACTTCAACCTCTCAGCTGCTCTGTTCACCCCAAGCCAGCCAGCACTGTTTCTCCGCCTACTGTGCCTGTGGGATGCGCCTCCCTCCCAAATCCAGAAGCCTAGAGGAGGAAGCCTCACTGGAACACTGTCTCTTTGGTATTTTATTAATGAATATACACCAATATGTTTAACGATGTTATGTTAATCTCTTAGTTCCTTAAGCCTTCGGGTGCTTTTCTCAACTTCCAGAACCGTTTATCACATGGCGCCACTTCTTGGCTGAGAATGTATTTCTTGTGCCTTCACCTTGCACTCCTCTAGGTCCCGGGGCCATTCAAAAATAACGTTATGTAATATGAGCGGGTCCGTCTCTCATTCAGCCCCTGTGTGCATTCATATGCCAGAATACTTGACTTGCGATATAGCTGTGCAACCATGCACAGGTGGCTGTTTGCACTGTTTCTCTCCCGCTCTGTGTGTGTGTGTGTGTGTGTGTGTGTATGCGCCTGTGTGAAAAAATAAAATAAAACTCTTGTTGCTTTCAGCCGTTGAGATCTAAGGGTCATTTGTTACTACAGTACAACTTGGAGTCTCCTGAATTTTACCGGCGTGGTCCATTTACTTCGCAAAGGGGAGAAGAGCCTCATTCGATAACTGGAGTTTCTTAACATGGCCAGATAAGAAAATGGTAGTGGGAAAAGTGTAGAAGATTGATTGATTCAACAGTTCAGTGCCTGCTCTCTACTGGGCACAGACTGGCGTTCCAGGTATCTAAAAAAAAAACCAAGTCTGCTGTCATTGACTCACTTCTGACTCATGATGGCCCCATGTGTTAGAAGAGAGTAGAACTGTTCCATAGGGTTTTCGTGGCTGTAATTTTTTTAAAAAAAAAAATTCACATATCATACAACCCAACAGTTGAATCACAACAAGAAGAGTTGTACAAATCTCACCACAATCGGTTTTAGAACATTGTCCCCCAACCTCCCCTCCTATAACTCCCAAAGAACCATGAATCCAGTTCCTGTCTCTCTAGATTTACGTGTCCTGGATTTCATATCCAGAAAAATACCTGACTTGAACAGTTGAAACCATGTCAGTTGCTTCCCTCCCCCACTCCCTGCTCAGGTGCACGCTGGTTTTCAACATTTTAGTAATGTTGCTTTTACTTGTTTTGTTTCGTAGTTTGTTCGTATTAGGGTTTATCTCAGAGGTATTATGTCAGTCGGGAGATAAACCCTTTTGAAGTTGTGTTATTTGTTTTTCTGTTCTTTGGTATATGAAGCCCAGGATCGATGAACCTATAGGGACAGCAAGTAGACTAATGGTTTGTGGGGGTAGGTGGGGATGGCGGGAAAGGGGGAGTAGAGTGGTGGTGGTGGGGTGAGGAAAACAGACACAATCTCAAGGGGTCCAGGAAGGAAAAGAATGTTTGGAAACTGATCGTGGTAGCAATTATATACTGTTGCTTCACATGATTGCAACATAAGGTATAAGCATTACTCCCAATGAATAATAAATTTTTAATTAAAAACAAACAAGAATAACAAAGTGAAACAGACAAAAATCTCAATTGAAAAGAAATGAGTAACTATTAAAAAGCAGAATATATAGAATACATTTAAATGGATCAGGAGGGATACCAAATGATAGCGTGCTAAATTTTACACTAACAGCATCTGCAACAATCCCGTTCCCATATATTCTGCATGATAGCAAGAGCATCGGGCATGATAGCAAACCTATCCACATCCTTGGTCTTTGGTCAGAGGGGATTCTCCAGGGTCTTCATCCACGTGTATTTCCCCTTTATTTTTTTTTAAAAACTGAAATGGGTCAAGAGGGAGAGCTAATGATAAGATATTACATTTTGACCTAATGATATCTGCCATAGCCGACTTTAAATTACTCTTTTTATGATAACGGAGCTATTCACATCCCTGGTCATTGGCCAGAGGGGATCCACCAGAGGCTTAATCCATGTGTGGATCCTGCAAATGGACTTTGGGCCCCCACTGTCATCCACAGCTCTCGGCAAACCAGGTGTTCACCATTTAAGCCATGATACCACCCCCTCCCTCTGATTTGGGTTATATTATTTACAATCGTTAGACCACACAGGCTGGTGTGGTTCCAAGTGAACTTAGTTCATGCCTCACTTAGATGACCGCTTGTCTGAAAACAAACTCTTTTTCTAGAAAAGTCATTTTATTGGGGGCTCATACAGCTCTTATCACATTACATGTATGCATCCATGGTGTCAAGCACATTCGTACATTTGTTGCCATCATCATTTTCAAAACATTTGCTTTCTACCTGAGCCCTTGGTATCACCTCCTCATTTTTCCCTCTCTCATGAACCTTTGATGATTTATAAATTATTATTATTTTTTCATGTCTTACACTGATCCATGTCTCCCTTCGCCCACTTTTCTGTTGTCCATACCCCTGGGACGGGGTTATATGTAGATGACTGTGATCAGTTCGCCCTTTCTCCCCCCACCTTCCCTTTACCCTCCTGGTATCGCTACTCTCAATATCGGTCCTGAGGGGTCTATCTGTCCTGGGTTCCCTGTATTTCCAGCCTATCTGTACCCGTGTACATGCTCTGGTCTAGCCGGATTTACAAGGTAAAATTGTAGTCATGATGGTGGGAGGGAGGAAGCATTAAAGAACTAGAGCAGCAGTTCTCTTTGGGGGTCGAACGACCCTTTCACTGGGGTCACCCAAGACCATCGGAAAACACATATTTCCGGGTGGTCTTAAGAACCAAGACCCCGCTCCTCTATCTGTCTCCAGGCAGGTCCGCCCACATGCAGATATGCCCACATCCAGGTACCAGGCGGGATGATACCATCGCACCAACCCCATCACATACACCCCATACAAATACAGATGTATGTGACAGGGTTGGTGCCGCAATGTGCTTATGCGGACCAGTCACGCATGTGTAGACAGCAGCTGCTGCGTAGGAAGCAGCTGCTGTGTTGAAAGCAGCTGCTCTGTTAAAAGCAGCTACTCTGTTGAAAGTAGTAGTAGTGGAGGTAAAACAACACTTCATGAATTATAATTACTGGGTAAATGTAAAATCATGCACTGTAAAATCTTCAGCTACTGTGAAGTGTATGTAATTGTGTGTGTCTGTACCATGGGAATTTAAACTGGATGCTGACTGGTCACTTTATATTCAGCTGTGGTTGATATGAATACTGGCCCCTTGTGATAGTAACAGGTATGTAAAAACAACAACAACACAGAGAATGGTAACTCATAGGACATTTTCAAGAACTGTATTGACTGAACTGTGCCGTGTATCATCTTTTGTATTATTAAAGCTATTGTTATATATTATTTTCATTAGCAAACCATCCCATGACAATAGCTGGCGTGGAGAAGAATGTTAAGAAAATATAGTGAGGATATTTTTTAAAATCCTTTTATTGGGAGCTCGTAAACTCTTATCACAATGCCTACATACATCCATTGTGTCAAGCACTTTTGGACATTTCTTTCCCTCATCCTCAAAACATGTGCTTTCTACTTGAGCCCTTGGTATCAGCTCCTCATTTTTCCCCTCCCTCCCAGCTCGCCCGTCCCCAGTGAACCCTTGATAATTTGTGAATTATTCTTATTTTGTCATATCTTACATTGTCCGACGTCGCCCTTCACCCACTTCTCCCCTGTCCGTCCCCCAGGGAGGAGGTTATATGTAGATCCTTGTAATCTGTTCCCCCTTTCTCCCTTACCATCCCTCCACCCTCCTGGTATCACCACTCTCACCACTGGTCCTGAGGGCTTCATCTGTCCTGGATGTCCTGTGTTTCCAGTTCTTATATTTACCAGTGTACATCCTCTAGTCCAGCCGGATTTGTAAGGTAGAATTGGGATCATGATAGTGGGGGGGAGGGGAGCATTCAAGAACTAGAGGAAAATTGTATGTCTCATCATTTCTACATTGCACCCTGACTGGCTCAGCTCCTCCCCGCGGTACTTCTGCAAGGGCATGTCCAATTTCCCACAGATGGGCCCTGGGTCCCCACTCCGCACTCGCCCTCATTCACACAATGCTATTTTGCCTTCCTGCTCTTCTTTTATTTATTTATTTAAATTGTTTTATTAGGGTCTCATACAACTCTCATCACAATCCATACATACATCAATTGTGTAAAGCACATTTGTACATTCATTGCCCTCACCATTCTCAAAACATTTGCTCTCCACTTAAGCCCTTGGCATCAGCTCCTCATATTTTCCCCTCCCTGCCCGCTCCCCTCTCCCTCATGAGCCCTTGATAATTTATAAATTATTATTTTGTCATATCTTGCCCTGTCCGACATCTCCCTTCACCCACTTTCCTGTTTTCTGTCCCCCAGGGAGGAGGTCACATGTAGATCCTTGTAATCGGTTCCCCCTTTCCAAACCACTATCCCGCTACACTCCGAGTATCGCCACTCACACCACTGGTCCTGAAGGGATCATCCGCCCTGGATTCCCTGTGTCTCCAGTTCCTATCTGTACCAGTGTACACCCTCTGGTCTAGCCAGACTTGCAAGGTAGAATTCGGCTCGTGATAGGTGGTGGTGGTGGGGGGGGATAGGAAGAAGCATTTGGGAACTAGAGGAAAGTTGTATTTCTCACCTTTGCTACATCGCACCCTGTCTGGCTCATCTCCTCCCCGAGAGAGACACCTCTGCAAGAGGATCTCCAGTGGCCTACAAATGGGCTTTGGGTCTCCACTCCGCACTACCGCCCTCACTACCGCCCTCATTCGCTATGGCAGTATTTTTTGTTCTGATGATGCCTGATACTTGATGCCTTCGACAACATGTGATCTCACAGGCCAGTGTGCTTCTTCCATGTGGGCTTTGTTGCTGCTTTTTAAAAAAAAAATCATTTTATTGGGGCTCATACAACTCTTATCACAATCCATGCATACATCAATTGTGTAAAGCACATTTATACATTTGTTGCCCTCATCATTCTCAAAATTCGCTTTCCGCTTGGGTTCCTGGAATCAGCTCATTTTCCTTTTCCCCTCCCCCTCCCTCCCCGGTCACCCCTCCCTCATGAACCCTTAATAATTTAGAAATTACTATTTTATCTTATCTTACACTGCCCGGCGTCTCCCTTCACCCACCCTTCTGTTGCCCAGCCCCTCAGAGAGGAGGTTATATGTAGATCCTTGTGATCCATTCCCCCTTTCTACCCCA